CCACACTAACAATACAACTTAAAAGAGCTCAAAGTTATCAAACTGCTGTTGTACCAACCAATGCAACTGCCATCAGTCAGGCAAGGGACCATTTTTTTCGACACCATTGGGCATATACTGCTAGGTCTAATTTTATAGACGAATCGGCAAACATCATGCCGGTCACCTTTACCTGGTATCCATGTTATGTTTGGTCAACCTGAGAGCCATAGTCATTTTTTTAAAAAGGAAAAGCAATCAGGCTCAATGTGGATTTGAACCTATAACCTTGAGAATAGAAGCAATTAGCTGCTACAACACGGTTGCCCCCCCCTCCCCCAAATCAGTAACTTACAACGATTTCCAAGTTATCACCAGGCCATATGAAATTAAATGAACTCAGTATGTTTACTGGTAGCTTCATCAATGATTTGCTCTTCAGAATTCCTTGGGCCTTATCCCGTTGTTACCTTGAGCACTGCCTCAATATGTAACTTTTTTTTCTCCATCACATGGTTTATAAAATAAACTCTTAGACCCAGACTTAAAAGTTCTGAACTACAATCAAGTCCCACTAACCCTAATGCAATCACCATTCATCTGCCCTCCCTGCCTATAAGCATATCGGGGAAGAGGGAAGAATACAAATTTACTAGAATTATCAGCCAGGTTTGTGCTCCCGCCCCCACCCTTTTTTTCTAGGTTTTTATCTTGTTGCTGTTCCCTTACTCTTTTCCCACCAATCTTGTCAGTTGTACCAAATTCAGAGTCCATCCCTTCTAATATCATGTCTAAAAAACACTATCCATATCTTATTTTTCTAATTAGTTTAAGGTTTTCATCTGTCTACAGGACTGCCTTGCTAATTTTTCTACCATCACCTCATTCTTCTTACAAACCACAGCTCCGCTACGAATAGGCGTTTCAATTACTGTAAGTGGCTCACTACTTCCAAGGTCCTATCAAACTCCACTAACCATAATGCAAATTATCTTTAGTAGTTAATAATTTGCTTGCTGCAATCAGAAAGCACATCACACAATTAAAAGTGCTGGCTCACAAAGCAACTCACATGCCGTTAATTAAACATTTAAAAAATAAAGAGGACAAGGCAGAATTATCTACCATATATTATGTTCATTTGATTTTGTACGCACCACAAATATAAGAAGGAACACGTACACAAGTCGTTTGCCATCATGTACATTTAACAACATCAAAACTTGTATTATATAAGATTGATCACAAATAAGTGCATAGAGTAGAGAACAAGCCAACGTGACATGACCATCATCTGAACATAAACAAATTTGAAGTCAAATGCATCTTCTGTAATAAAGTAACTTGCAAAGTCTAGTTCACCCGCGCCAGATAAGAATTTGCAAGAAGGGAATACAAAAACACTTCTCCATGGTGAGATCAAGCGTGATATATATAGACTAAGCTTCTAGAGGTCTGATTATGCACAGCCACTGCTCAGACCACAACTAATATGAATGAACAATGGCGGAATTAAGAAATAATCTGATTGAAGAGAATCATTTAAAACAGCTATTAAAAATATGTATTAAATGCAGTCACACTGCTAACTTGACCTCATTTGAAAATATAAATAGTATGAGCAATCATACCTTGACAATTAATCAGATCAAATATGAAGAAAGAGCAACTACAAAAAACACAAAAAGAAATTAGTCCTTGAGTATTCTTATAATCTCTGAAGTGATAAATTATCTGCATAATCTAGGGCTTCTGCACAAAAAAACATAAGGAACACTGATCTATTGCACAAGGGGGTGAGTGTTTGTGTGTGCATGTAATTTTTCTTTAGTATGATGAATGCAAACATACATTTTTACGAGAAAAGAAAGAGAAAAATGGGAATAACAATCATGTGTCTAAAGGAATGTTGCGCAGCAATGAAGACAGGTAGGATATCGGATACCATCAAAGCTAACGAATGAGATGGAATGTTTATCAACTGAATGGTAGCAAAGACAAAGCAAGAAGATATAAGGATGTGTCTCCTTTCTGTTATTATGCTGGAGGAAAAAAAAAGCCTCATAAAAATGGGGAAAGAGAGAAATAAAGGGTGTTTCATCACCACTGGCAAGAACTACCACTTATCAGACTATGGCAAGAACTACCACTTATCTGACCTGGCAGTAACTGACTACAGCAAGGATCACCACTTATCTGACCTGGCAGCAACTGACTAACAGCTTCTTTAGACATCAGTCATGCTAAACACTGAGACCTGTCCGGGTCACAAACAGGATTGTGTGTTCAAGGTCGCCACTGGTCCCCCTTAGCTTCTCTTGCAATGTAGCTCCCTTGGGCCAGATCCAGTCTTTGCTGGGAGAAGTTAGGGCAGTACGGCAGTATGTGCACAGGGGTCTGTATTTCTGCTCAGCAGATTCTTTTACTCCTATTTACAGCAGCAACAATTGTGCCAGCAATGATAACTGATATTCACAGGTTAAAAATGACTGGTGTTTTTGTCTTGTCTAAGAACAAGCAGTATGCCCTCTCGTCTAAGTGGTATGTTAATGATTCAAAGAATGTGTGGTATGCCTGCTGGTCTAATCAAGAGTGGCACGTCCAGTGATCTAACAAGCAATTATATTTTGGCTGTTTTTAATATGAGTGGTATGACCAGTGATCAAAAATCAAATTCTACTGGCTGGCCTGAAGGAGACAGGCATGCTTGATGGTCTAAGAATAAGTGGTACATTCAGTAATCTAGCAAGCAATTCATTCCCTCTAAGAAAAGGTATGTCCACTTGTCTATGAACCGATGGTTTATCTGGTGGTCTCAGAATAAGTGGCATGTCCATAGGTACAAGTGATATGCAAAGTAATCACATCAGCCATATCTGCTTGTAAGAGAATGAGTAGTATGATTAGAGCTATTACTGAGCAACAGAAGTCTGCTGATCCTAAGATGAATTGTAAGTCTGTAGGTTTAAAAGTAAGTGGATATAGACTTAAAACCCCCCGCATTGCAACCGCAACCAGTGTCCAAACAAACATTGTAAACCAAGAGATGAAAATGACAAATGGCTTAAAAAAATTTATTAATATATGATGTTAACATTAATTACTAACAAGCATAAAAGTTATTACCAAAAATATATATATATGAATTGTTTCAATAGCAAGGGTCTACAAACAACATGTGGTTATGACAAATTAATGATCCGCCAAAAAAATTTGTTAAAACTTATGACATTACAAACATATGCAACAGGTCATAGACCTCCTAGATGAATGATGAACACAAATTGTAAACACATGAATACTTATTATAGAACCGAGAACATTAGTAAGCAACTGCTATAACAAATAATCTTGTGTCTACGACTGCTATAGCCATTAGTAAGAAAATATCAAACAACACAAATTCACAACCGAATATGGTTACAGAAGTTCCTGTTTTATTTCTCGTTACAGTCGTATGAGACAAAACATTTGATAAAATATGTCTAGGATTCAAGGTTTAGCATCAGCCGATTAATCAGATGCTATCTCAATAAAGGAAAGTTGGCCACAACAAAAGAGAAACATCAGTTGATATTGGTTAAAACTGATGCTAAATGATGAATAATGTGTGTGATGGTGGTCTTTTCCCTGACCCTTACCATAATCCGTTTATCATCTCTGTTATTTTTCCTTATCTTACTCTTAACTGTCTTAAGCTTTTGCTTAAATGTAATCTTTCCTTAAACCACACTGTAAAGTTATAACACCTGCAGAGACACATTTGTCGAGGTGTTGCCATTCCCTGGTAAACAGATTTTAACCAAATAACCCCCTGGAGGGAAACAAACTATACAGAGGTCAGCAAAACTCATACAAAGCCAGTCCGGAAATGAACAAACAACCAGCACTTTCCAACTAATTTAACAGCCGGTGAACGCAAAAAGCACTCTCCCAATTCCGAGTTAAATTTTATCACCTAACATTACTGAGTCACCAAATTAGATGTAGAAAACATTCCTATTTTTAGAGTTTGCTGCGAGTGTGTAATACAGAGCAACTGTTACTATAAGAAATTTTACAAATTTTTCAAATGTGTCAAGCCAATTTCTGCAAAATTATACATGCCTATTTATTTGGCTGTTAACTTACTCGGTCAGCTCATCTAAGTTAACTCTTCAGATACCAAAAGGTGATGCGTTCCATGGTACCAAAAGAGTTAAACCATTAACCTTCATAACAAATTACTCATAATACACAAATATACAAAATGACTACCAACTACTGGCCTCCACAAAGGTTGTTTGCAGAGATGACTAAGGATAGAGAAATTATGCTGGAATGTCATTTAAAAAACTATTTCCTAAAGAAAATAATTAGCAAACAAGCCTAGTAAAGCTGACTAAAATGCTTGTAATAATGTACACTTATGCAGAAATTGTATGATTAATTACTGGCTTCTCTGCTTCATTTTAAACCGCTGGATTAACAATAATTACGGGACCTTTTGAAAAAAAAATATGCCGTCCTGAGTGGCAAACTAACAATGCTATTTAACTGTGCAGAAATCGTGAGATTCTTGCTAGATATTTGAGCTGGGATTAAACAACTTAAAATGCAGGGTACAAATAAAATCACATGCAATATAAAAATCTGAGTTGCCCTGCAGCTGCAGTAAATGTGCATTTTAAGTACAAAGAAGACCAATGAAACTGTAGGATATATTCACACAAGTAAGGGCCTCACAAACTTTACACTCTACAAAATTAAGCTTCTTATATTTCAACCCTTTTATTTTTAATCACTTCACATTTATGCCTTTTCAAAAACAGTTTTTTTTAAAGATTGCTTGTTTACGCATTATGAATTACCAAATGTATTAATTTCTGCTTCTGAATATTTTACTGGTGGGAACAAAGAATATATGCTAATATCAAAAGTGAGATGCTGAAAAGAAAGAAAATAGAAGGTAAAAGAAAACGATAACGGGGAAAGATTTAAGAGAATGATTTCTATCTGCTCATATGAAACTAAGAAAATTTTCAAGGATCAATTAGTAGCTCAAAGTGGACGCCGCCTTCCTTGTCAGTTCTATCCACAACAATGTTCTTGGCCAGTGCTTTACATTCAATCATAAGACCCAAGTGGTTGGTGACATTGTTGAATTTGACAAACATCAGTGGAGAGCGGTAGTCCTTCTGGTTCATGTATGGGTAGAATGCTAGAGGGAAACCCTGCTGGGGGTAATAGGTGATTGCATCTAGTCCCAGGTTGTCGTCATCAGCGGGATTCTTTAAAAAAAAAAAAAAGATTTGTATATTACATTCAGCAAACAATAGATACAAGCAGACAGGGGGTACTGAATGTAAGAGGAAAGTACTAGTCTAGAGCTCTAGGAGTGAACTATTATGGCCTTCTTCATCTTCAGGTTTAACAGCTATAAACTCTGGCAGAAAGTTCTGGTTGTTCATTTACTTTTGGACTGCAGACCTGCTCCAGAATCTGTTGCGTGTGCATCCGTTTTACAGATCTGACCCATTTGTTTGCAGACTGCTGGTTCCTTGCTCCGACTTCAAAGGAAGCTCAAAATTAGTCGACTCTTAAGACATGATCTTGGGTAGGCAATGGTTCTATTCTTGTTTTCCCTATAACAGGTCCCCAGAACCCACACGGTAATAAAACTATAGGTTCTTTATTGTCTGCCTGAGTGACTAACTGCTGTGTACCAATGTAAAGTATAGCTGCAATATTTGTGCCTTTCGGCTGACACACCCAACTTTATCAGGCATTTGTTCGCCAGATTAGCCTTCCCGGTTGGTTTCAGGGGACATGATGTAGCCTTATTTGCGTGGTGTCTTTTATGTCTGTCGACAGGTGTTGTTGCAGAACCCATCCAGGGAAACCGCGTGCAGACTGGCCAGCCCACAAGGAAAGGCATGGTCAGATCACAGGCATTCTATACCATCCTAGGAGGCTTCCATAAATAGAGCCGACATATGACGTGGTGGTGGGCTCACCCAAGGAATTAAACTCAAGCTGAGGGAAAGACACTGACTTTGGATAAGAAACATATCCGGAAACCTGATAATAAAAACAGTTTTTTTTGGGGGGTAATATCCTACCCCAGATGTCACAGGACAGTCCAACATTTTAGGGGGTGTAAGACTGGGTTTCCCAGCTTTCTGAAGCTTTTAACAACCCCAAAACATCTAGAAATCGCCCTAACCCCCAACCTGCCTAGGTTCCACAAATGCATGCAGCCTAGGTCCTACAACTGCATGCAGACTATCAACCACCCCCTGAAATATTAAACTGTCCAGTGACCTGTGATTTCCGGTGTTTGGGGTAGGATATTAGGAAAGCACCCAAATATATTTATAAATTCCCCATTATGGGAACAACAAGAACAGTCCCACTGCCCGCCCACAAGCATATCGTAAGATATAACTGGGAGCTTCCGTGGAAGTCTGAGTACATCAACCTGAAAGGCAAGGAACCAACAGTCTGCATGCAAATGATTCAGAATTGTGAAACTGGTGTGAACGCAACACTCAAGATTCTGGAACAGTACTAGAGCCCAGAAATGGATAAACAATCAGCACTTGTTGCCAGAATTTACAGCTGGTGAACGCGAAGAATATATAATATATTTATATCTATCTATATATAGTGAGCAACAGTTCAGCATGCCAAAAATAGAAACACAGCATTCGTTGTTAGTGTTTCTATATTCAAAAACCCTTTGGCTGTTTGGTTTCTGAGTAATCATACATATACAACTATCCTTTCCCTGCATACCTAAAGTGACAGAACCTTCAAGAACAACCATGGAAACTAAAATAATTTTAATGAGAAGACTTCCAATAAAGTAAGAATTATTAATTAATCACTCACCTCTCCGTGACAGTCGACCCATATTCTGTCGTTAGTGTACTTCTTCTTGATGTATTCCGGGACAGCTGATGCTGTCTGAGCTTCTTCGACATCCCACACAGCTGGTATCCAGTTATAAATCTGATAAATGAAAAGGCCCATAATTAGGAGCACTGAGGAATACCCTTAATTGTTTCTAAGCATGACTCATTACCCATAAGGTGGTGTACAATTAAATATTCGCATATGCGGCAGCTAAATATATGATCAACATTTATTTATATACAACTATACTTCTAAGAAACCTATGATTTTTCTTAAATTATTTAAACACATTTGTACCTAATTATTAATTGGATATAAAAACTACAGACAGGGAGTTGCGACAGTGTAGTATATGTGTTTGCCGACCCAAAGGCCGGGGGTTCAAAAACCCTGATCCTGGTTCTCAGGCTGACTCAGCCTAAGATTGGTACTACATGTGGGGGGGGGGGGGGGGGGGGGGGGGGGAGAGGAGAGAGAGGTGTGTGTGCATGTTTTGACTAAAAACACATATGACAGAAGCCTGTTTTGACTAAGAGAGACATATGACAAAAGCATGAATTGACTAACAGAGACATATACTGACTAACAGAGACATATATGACAGAAGCATGTTATAACTAACAGAGACATACGACAAAAGCATGTATTGACTAACGGTGATGTGTTAAATGACCAACTTACTTTGTTCAGCTTCAGCAGCACGCAAGGCTTGGCTTCCAGCATCCCATAGGCATTAGCTTCATTACAGCCTTCAGTCAGGGCAGTGAAGTTCACCCGGCAGGGAACTTTTGCATCCAAGCGGGTTTCATTGATACCAGTGCAGTCTGTACTCACCAGGCCAGTTGTGTTGTATGCTGCAGATGTCACATCATTACAATAATGTCATTAGCAGTGACTGTGCCATTGCATTTAAGTTAGGATTAGGTAAACACACTGCTGTGCTATTTCAGAATAATTAACAAAGAAAAGTCTACATAACTAAAAAGATTACTAGAAAACTGGATAAACAAGAACAGGAATACTGGCATTTCTGCAAGATATGAGACAAGAGATCAACACCCTTCCCCTCGGCTCCCATTTGACCCTGCATCACGAGCTGCAATCCACATAGATCTCCATAAAAATTGCAACCACGATAGTCAGTGAAATGACCACACGACCTTCAGAGCACGGGGCACATGGCAAGACCACTTTGCCAGTGTCCCAACATCTGAACATCAAGGAAAACTGGCCCAACAGCACATCTTGGAACGCTTAGGCCAGTGTTTCCCAAACTTTTCTTAGTCGCGGAGCCTTTTTTTTTTTAAATATAAAAAAATTTCTACAACGCCCTGGTCTAAGTAAAAGTATGACTATTCATATGTAAGAGATAAAAAGCACGTATCTTAGAATATTTCGCAGTGCCCCTGTGAAAAGGTCGCGGCTCCCCTGGGCGCCGCTGCGCAGTTTGGGAATCACTGGCTTAGGCCATGTTAAATGCTACAACGGCTCAGAAATAACGGTAATGGAAGGCATGGTTTCAAGAAGCAGAGACATGTGTGCTAACCAGCACAAAGCTGGAGACAAGATATCAGAGACACCACAAAAATTCACGCGGCATGAGACCTAACAATTCTTTCGGTGGGATGCGGTACTCCACAAAGAAACTGCCATGTGATATTTGTCACAAACATACTATAAAGTGATAATTTAACATGCATGATAAGACTGGCAATCCTGTAACCAAAATGTGATGAAACTACCTCTGTGTGCATAATCTGCAATGTAATTCGCAATCACCTAACAAAGAAGACTTTGCTAATGCAACAAATATAAGTGTGCAAAAATCACTAAGAACAGCTTGCAAGATATATTTGGGGAGACCCAGCTAGCTACCATATTCAGATCTCACAGTTTGCCTTTAAAACCTCATAAAATATAATTTATTGGTAGGTGGAAAAAAAAGAAGTGAAAAATGAGACAAAACCAGAAAAGACTGAAGTGTAATCTAGTGGATAAGTACTAATGTGTAGCAGTTTATTTGTTCCATCATGATTAAGTTGATGATCTTAAACACTGATCAGTAATTAACACAAAGCTACATCTATGCACTCAAAAGGACCAACAATATGAGAAGACAGAGATTTCTTCTCCTTCCAGCTGTAAACCAGGTTGTTCGTACAGTTCTAGACTTCAGTCTCATTCCAGAACTTGGCTTCGCAAGCATGTTCATATCACAGATCTGACTTATTTGTTATGCAGACTGTTGATCCCTTGCCTCTCAGGCAGATGCACTCCAGCTTCGAAGGATGCACCTCTAATTAGATTACTTTTTAAAACTAGCTTGTTAGTAAGGCCATTATTTTCCCTTTCAAAATGGGTCCCCAGAACACACAAAGTTGTCTTTTACTAGATACTATTTCCGAAAATAAGTTTGCATAACACATGTATTTTCTGTATCTAAGGCCATCCACCTGGCTTGAATTTAACTTCAATCATGTGCATCAGCAGCAACTCTACACCAGACGTAACTAAAATACACTTTCCATTCCTTCAAACAGCCAGCTGCTTAACTTACCTTTCAGGACTTTGTTGATACTATCAACATAGGCTTGTCTTTCTTTCTCTATCTTTCTGGCATATATCAAAGTTGTGTCCATATCTGGCATTGGCTCATAGCCCATTCCTTAAAAAAAGAAAACAATGAATTTAATTTTTTCATTACCAACTAATAGCTCCAGTCATGTGTCCTTATGCTGCCATGCTGGAGGTATCTTCTTCGCGTTCACCAACAGTAAAATCTGGTTGTTCGTCCACTTCTGGACACGTCTTGTTCCAGAACTTGAGTTTTGTGTACATATGTTTTACAGATCTGGCTTATTTGTATGTAGACTGTTGGTTCCTTGCCTCTCAGGCAGATGCATTTTGACTTAGAAGGATCTGCAGCTTTTAACATTCTAGTTCCTCCACTTATGCCATGGCAGAGTAATATACGGTGTCCACTCAGACTCATCCGTCCTTTTATGTTCTCTGTTCATTTAGTGTTTCTAGTTTCCTCTTCTCATGTGTTTTCAAATGTTGCCTGAAGATGAATTTATTCAATGGTAGGCAAGCTCAAAGCATTTTACTTGTGGCTGTGGTCACCGGCAACCAGGTCGCCCATTGGCTGGCAAGTAGACTTTGTTGTCGGCCCCTACAGTATTTTGGTCTGTCTCCTTTGATTGCATCAACACTACAAGAGTCCCCCTTATAAAGCTTCTTGGCGGCGGGCGATGTTAAGCCATTTTAAATGGCCCAAATAATCTAAGTCACAACTATAACCAAAAGCTCAACCTTTGTGAATGCTAGCTGAATGTGACACATTTTTAAACGCAAAACAAGGCAAGACATTGGTCTATGTAAAGCTGATGTGCAGGATAGTTCTAATTTTTCTTATTGCCCATGATGTATGATACTGAAAGTAATGTCAATACACAGCCTTATATCTCATATATTTTAAATTATTTCACACATTATCTCCCATGCCATGATGTTGTACTGTCCTGCAGCATCTCTTTCAGTTTCTCTTTGCCCCCCCCCCCCCCCCCACCCCTTTTTCACACTGCAACATGTTTAAGTTTTCTCCTCATGTGACCTAAGAATACAGTCAGACTTCTTGTGTGGTTTTAAGCAGTTGTCTTTATGAGTTAATATTTGTCAAGGTATCAAGATTTCTTTTCAACATTAACATAAATGCTAGCAAAATGTATCAAAACTGTGAGGAATTAGGAGTTAGCTGCATGTCCATCAAAGATGAATATAGTGGAAAATAATGGCCAACAGTGTTGAGGCATACAATAGAAAATATATATATATCAGAGCTGACTAGGAGTAGACTACAAACCAAAACAAGACAGGAGAGATTAATATTCAGACACACAAGCATCTGGAGTCACCAACAGGAAAGATAAGGCCAATCAGCGATGGAGCTAGAAATATCTGCAGCAATAAAAGAGTAATTGAGATCCTATGCTCCAGTGGCAGTCAAAAGGCAGAATAAGTCATAAGCTACATGGATAGAAGAAAAACGTCTTTACAGCTGATGCCACACCGTTCCTTTCACATCAACACTGGGTGCATGGTGTTGTCTACATATATTTTGTAGCACAAAGCTAAGACTTCAAGCAGAAATAAAGCATGCAAAAACATTTCAGCCAGAGTACCACTTACCAGGATTTGCCCTTAATATACTGCTGGTCCCCTGTAACCTAGGCTGATGTTCTTCTATAGTCTGGTAAAATCCTGCAATTGTGGCGGCAAAGAATCCAGCCAGGCATGCAAAGAATATTATATAGAACACTGTGATCTCACCTGAAAGGAAAGAATCAATATGACTGATTGAATGGTATTATAAATGCACTGAAAAGGATCCAAAATATCAGTAATGGTGTCAATTTGTCATTAAAACTGTCGTCTGGTTGAGGATTAAAAGTAGTAGTCACGCCATCTTCTTCTCTCCCCCCCCCCCCCCTCACAATATCTAACACCAGAACCCATATGGTGACAGTTAAATGTAACGTAGATTTTGTGGGAAATATTGACCTTTATATTATAGTATGCATAAAAAATGTTAACTTTACAATGGTGCATAAGACCTTTTAACTCTTTACGAACGTTTAGCCAGTATATTGGCAATTAAGTCTATCCCTCCAAGACGTATCGCCGGTATACTGGATCATGAGAGAGACTCTAATTTTGTTCTGTTTGTAGGGCAAACAAATTTTATGAACAGGTTTTTGAACAATTAGGATTAACAACAGGAAGTACTTTCGTTTGCGACGTTTATCGTGGTCGGTGCATTATTCTGTGATTTTAAACAAAAATTAGAGGGGATACAATTTTTACCTGATTTTTCTATACTAAATTATAAGGTAAAAGGTCTAGAACTGTTCATACTACTCTATCGTTGACGAATCTCTGCCAGATGGTGACAATTCTTATTATGTCAATAATTTTTATATTTGTCTAACATACTTAAATCTTGTGAGATTTTAATACTATTTTTAGTTGTTATACTAATTTATTCTGCACTCATTTATCTTTAATTTTTATGTATTTCCCGATACAGCAAATACTTTTTCTTCAGGAAGGTTTAAGCTTTGTCGCGTTGCAGTAAAAAAAAATTCCGCTAAAAATTAATGCTTTCCAAACCCCAGAAAGAATGATGTCCTAAAAGAGTTAAAACACCATCCATCCTCTTAAAAATAACTATTGGTGTCCTCATGTGGGGGGGGGGGCAGCCGCTGTGGTGCAGTGGCTGGATGCGCTTGCATGCGGATCAGAAGGTCGTGTGTTCAGGTCATTGCAGTAACAGACTCCCCCCCCCCCCCCACAAAAATTGCTTAGGATCCAGAGTTGACCAAGTCTGGAATGGGCACCAGGTGGAGTCCTGGAAAGTAAAGGTGGCCAGCATGATTCTGACCACATCACCCACCGGGTGCTGATTGGTGTATAAAATAGTGGTCTATCCGTACATGCCCAATACGCATAAAGGCATGGAAAAAGGGTCCTTCACTTACATGAGTACTTCAGGCTAAATTGGGGCAGGAGTGTGCCTAAATCAGACATGAGGGACTGAAAGGTACAGATACTGCAGCCCAACTTTAAACAATACAATTTGACAACCGTATTTTTTTTATGGTGAACATGGAAGACAAGACAGCACCCACAGAAAACAATCAGCAGCTACAGAAGACAGCACCCACAAAAGACAATCAGCAGCTAATTTCTGAAAACAGCATTTTTCTGCTTGTTCCAAATACAACACTGATTCTTCCTCACAATCACAATAAGAAAGCCCATATTTTAATTTTTATTTCAAACCCTGGGAGGCTAAATGTTATTAAGGTGACCTAGTTTTTAAAGAAAAAAAAGAAATGGGTTATGGGTCACTCAGAGAACTCTTGTGAAATAGCCTGTGTAACTGGCTATTCCTTATGCTTGCTAATCAATGCACCCAACTTTTCTCCCCTTCTCAAGTTCTGTCAGATATTTGACACCTATGAACATTGTGGCCCCTAAATAAACTTAGCTGAATAGCCCTGCTCTAAGATCTGTGTCATTCCCCTTCTTTTCCCGCTTTCGATTACTTTGTTGCAACAACATACTCAAGCTTTTCCAGTTCAGGACATAAAGACCAAAGAACGTAAGAACTATCTAACTGCAAATGACCAATTTATATATATTGGTCATTTGCAGTTAGATAGTTGCATATGACCAATATATATAAATTGGTCATTTGCAGTTAGATAGTTCTTACGTTCTTTGGTCTTTATGTCCTGAATTGGAAAAGCTAGAGGAGGCCGGAAATATACCTCAACAGGGCCTCAGTCATATGTAAATTGCAGAACTCTTTGCCTCAAATATACCGCTACTGCGTTACAAAGCTCATAAGCAAATAAAATGGAGAAAGCTGCAGGAGATGCAGTAGCTGCTGCTCTTGAGTCTTAGCCACTTAGCTCCCCCTCCGTGGAGAGGGGAAACTTTCTGCGGTGACTTTAACTCAGCAGACGCTTTTCTGCGTTATAGTCGCCGGAAAGAGGTCCGCAATTTACACATGACTGTTTGGGTATTTTCTTAGCCTCGATAATTTAGTAGGACCAGTATTCGACGGATAGCTAAATAAACTTACGGGGTTCCAAAAGTTAGGTACTACGTTTTCTTCGATCGATCGGGCACTTCCGGAAACGGAACGGGCTGGGTTGCTACCCATAACAATGTCCGTAAGTTGTCGGTGAATTTTTTCACGATGATGATTCGTTATACACATTCGGGAAACCTCGGGGATTCCGACGAGCTATATATAGCCCAAGTCAAAGCAAATTGGTTGACTTTCACATTCCTCGTGGTCTGAAAGCATTTGATCGTGTTTTGCTACTGCCGATCGTGTTTGAATATATAGCGGTAAGTAGCCACATTATTTGATAGCGTTCAACGCATTTAAACGTAATATTCTTGTAATTATTCGATTCTCTGTCCAATTTAACTTTTAGTTTGTAAAATTTTATTAGTATATTCTATGGGGGTGATTTGCAGTGGGATTTTCAAGATGCGATCCTGAAACCATCGTGGGTGAAGAAATTGGCGTCCATCTTGTTGCTTTAGAATAAGCCTTCAGCGTGTTTTAATTATCGGTAGTTATTTAATATACAGTTATTTTGTAGGCTCTTAAAACTGATTAAAACTGTGAAATGTATTTTTATCATCCATAATTAAGTCTATTTAGTCAGTTTACACCCAACGACGTGATAGGGGAGATATACAGAAATGGTTTTTAATTAAATCAGACTATCTGAGGCGAAAAAGGAAAAGGCCATTTTGTTACTTTTGTGGAAGGCGTTACTGCAGTTACCATAACAACAGCTGTCTTTTATGTGGTATTTATTTTAAGAAGTTATATTTATTCTTAATACAGATAATGCATTATCAATATTTTTATAGTTATGTTATAGTATTTAATTATTAAATTTGAAAATTTTTTTTAAATAAATATTTTAAATGATACATGATATAATTATTATAATTTAATGAATTTATTATTATATTATATATATATATATATATATATATATATATATATATATATATATATATATATATATATATATAGTATAGTACAATAATACATACATACAATACATATATTTAATTATATATATAAAATATACTACACACTATGTGACACATACAGTTAATAGATGTAAAAAACAATGTAATTACTATTACAATATTACACCACCCCCCTCCCTTTTCCCATATGATGTTGCATACGCATATAATATGCTTATATAAATATTACTTTCTTACACAGCTCACCATGGAAAAATAAAACAGCTTCTGATATGAGAGCATATCTGTCATCCTTTGAGCCAGAGTACCCAGTTAAGAAAGGCTATATAGCCCGACTGATTGTAAATGAGAAATTGACAACTGTAGATATTTGCAGGATGATCAAGGGCATGGTGCAGGTAGCTGAACCAGACAAGCAGATACATGAGGGGAGAGTGAAGGCGTGTATAAATGATATTAAAAGAAATGCTGCCAAAAAAATGAATTACACCAAGCAGTGGGCTGATCTCATCAGTTTTAACCAGCAGCCATTTTTTGTATCCTTTTTGTCTGGAGAATCATTAAGTTCTTCTTCTGCAACATCTACATCAGTTGTGCAGCCTGACCATACATGTGCACCACTCATACAAACTGATCATTCATCCCCACCACTAATTCAGCCAACTGATCATTCATCCCCACCACTCACACCTGTGACACCAGCTGACCATACAACTGATCATGCGCAACACACTTCTGCAACACCATGGATTGACGAGTTACCCTTTAACTCCATTCATAATCATAATGTTTCATTTTCTGTTTCACTGATCTCCAGGTCACCATCACCAAAGCGTTTAAAAAAAAGACTGTGACAACTGTGTAGCTAAGCAACGGACAAGTCTGAACATGCTGAAGGAGAACAGGCACTTGCGTTTGCAGATAAGAGCACTTAGAATTCGACATAGAGAGGAAAAGAAACAGATGTCACTGAAAACATTGAATTTGACAATAAAGAGGAAATCGGCATCAGCTGAACTTTGGAGAGTCAAACATTCAAATTTGAACAAACAGTTCCAAGAACAGGAAATGCGGCACAGGAAAAAGGAAATGTCAATTAAAGCAAAACACGAGGAAGAAATAAAGGAACTGACAATTGCCAAAGGAATATTAGAAAGCAAACTGAAGCAATCTGAGAAAAAAATCACTGATTTGGAAAAGAGGAACAAGCAATCGAAAGAACAGTTTTGTGAAATCCAAAAGAAGATTAGCAGTGAATTAGACTATGTAAAAACCAGACTGCAAGAGGAGACAGATCGAAGTAAATACTGGGAAAACGAAGCAGTGGAACAGGCAGATTCTAAGGAAGACAGTGAAGACAGTGACAACATTGTTACAACAAAAGAGGCAGGGAAGTATGATTATAGATTTAGGCAGTGTGTTTATGACTTTTTAATGTGTAATGTTAGTGTTGGGAATATTTCTCGTTTGTTGTCTTCTGTTGCAGGGATAATTTTTGGTAAAGTTTTTTCTCAGATTCCATGTGTGACTACAATAGCACAGATGGCTTACGAACTCGGGGTGCTTGCTAGCATTCAAGCTGGCCAGATGCTGCACGAGTGCGATCTCATCACATTAGCCTGGGATTCCACAACAAAGGCAGGTATACATTATAACGAAGTTCATGTGTCCCTCAAAACAATACTAGGTAGGCAATCATTAACTCTCAATATTAGACCCATTTCAGGTTCATCAGCAGAGGAGCTGTACCAGCATGCAATGGAAGCCTTATCTGATGTCTGCGAGATCTACTGTGCCGCCTTCCAGTTACCCGCAACAGCCATCCTGGAAGAAGTGAAAAGCAAACTGCACAGCACCATGAGCGACAGAGCTGCTGCAAACCACCGAGTATCTGAACGACTCAAAGAGGACTGTGGAGACGGAGACGTGGCCGATTTAAAATGTATGGTGCACCCATTAGACGGCCTTGCCAGATCAGCTCGTGAAGCTCTGCGTAAGCTGGATACTAAGACAGACCAAGATGGTCAGAAATCCTCCTTGGGCTGCCGGGCCGCAACACTGATTCATCAAGTATCCAAACTGAGGTAATGTTTAGTCAGTTTTTATCATTGTGTAGCAAGTCCTGTCTCATGACATCTATTTTATATCATTTTTTTCATGTCTGTGGCAGATTATTCAACATACATGTATTTGGCAGTTTGACAACAGGTAGATATATCATCATATATGGAGCGTAGTGATAATCTGGAAATCATACTAAAAATAATGTAATTTTCATTTTAATGCCTGCAGTAAATCACATAATCATGCACATAACAAGACGTTTTTATTTTTTTTTCCCAGGTACAAAGATGGGTCTGGTGATCCAGCTGCATTCACAGCCTTTTTGAAGACGAAGAATATCAATCCCGGTATCTTCAAACGCTATGTTGGGAACCGTTTGAATGTCATGTTCAGTATGGCAGCGGTGATATACCTGCATCGAGTCCAGCTGACAGAGTTTGTAAAATGCAGGCTGGGAAAGTTTGTGTGCGCAAAAATTTATGAAGGCCTGACTGATCCGAGTGTCCTTCTACACTTGCAAGTAATGGGCATGTACTCCCGCTTCCTCACAGGACCATGGATGCAGATATTTTACTCAAAGGAGGATGGAAGAGGACACTTCGAAGCAGTAAGAATTTGCTTGTGGTTAATTTTTTTGTCGGCCCCTCGCTGGGGGCTAGTTGGATGATACAATTTGTTTGTCTTGCTTCAGTTTTTGTCTTGATTCAGCAATCTTTCCCTCTGTCCTAGTGTTTTCATATGATTTGCTTATTTTACAGGTTTATTAGGGTACTAGTGTAGATGTGTATTGTTATAAAAAAATTTTTTTAACAATATTTCTTTATCACTCTTTTCAACCAGGTAAAAGAGATAACATCATGTCTTGGCCATCTCACGTCAGTGGAGAAGACTCCGGAATACTTGATCCATGCTGTAACTGATGCGTTTGACAGGGACATGGAGGAGTCTGAGTTAACCAAGCTTCACCATTCTACTAAAGATTACAGTATAGTAGCAAAAAATGTATCATCTGCGTTTATTAAAACATTGCAACAGCAGTTTAAGCCATATTTTGCAGGGGCCTTGTCTAATCCATCTGAAGAAATGATAGCAAGGACATCTTCCGCCCCGGTTCATAATATGGAGGCTGAAAGAATTATGGCAATGTTGGATAGAGCTTTGCAAAGAGCCCCAAATGCCTCCATAGGATTTATTGATGCTAAAATAAAGGCTGTGCAAAACAAAACTTTGCACTGGCTACAGTCATTTGATGACGACTACCAAAACTTTTTGGTCCGTTTTGCAATCCGTTATGGGTCTAAAGTGAGGCAGCATCAAGCTGAGCAACAGAAGAAAAGACAGCAGAAAGATGTCCAGAGGTTAGACAAGACACAAAGAGATGTACATGAAAAACGATTATCAGACTTTGTGCGTACAGAGTCAGTGTTGTCAGTTCTCGACCTAGAGCTATTTAAAGATGTAGAGTTGAACACAAAGGAGAAGTTGAAAAATATTCTCAACAACGCTAATGCACTGCCAGGTGTGTTACTGCGACACGTCTGGTATGAAGAAGGAGTAGACACTGTCTATATTGAAATGGTAAAGAGCGTGAAAGAAAAAGACAGCCTGAAGACAGTAATAGAGCTGTATTACTGGAAGGAAGATGAAGGACCAACAGATGCCACCTTCAAGATGACTATGACAGAATTTCTGGTAGACTTTGCCACAAAAGAACTGGCATTTTATGAAGATTAAAAATAAAACATAAGTACTTTAAAAAAGAAAACCGATTTAGAAATCATAGAATATTTTTAAAATAATCAAAACCTTATTTTTGGAACATACAAATTTATATCAGAATTGTAATTTTATTATAAAGCTGTCTCAAAGTTTTATTTTAGTTGACGCTCAGTAAAGATAAAGGCTTCTAAGAGTGCAAGTCATCATCACGCTCGCTTGTCAGCCCAATCGACAGCAGCTTTCGTCGGCAGTCAAACACAGACTAATGGACATGGTGAGTAGCTATAACGACATGTTTAAACAAAATGTAATACTTTATAATAATCATTACATACCATCTGGGACGTATGAACATATATCAGCTGTGAATAGATTTCAAACCCTCTTTTTTCAGGTGTATATTTTGCAATTTTAATTGAACTATTTTCTGAAAACCCCACTTAATCATGTGCTAATAGTTACATTCCTTCTTTAAGAGCCAAGGTAAACAATGTAAACCCAGTGAAAACTTGATCATTACAGACAGACGTGTGAGTTGCTTTGTGGGCACTCCAACCAGAAAGGAATGTGGATACATGCAGGATTTGTTTGAAAAAAAAAAACATGAAATTATTGGCTTTTGACGATTGCATATCTTAGCTGTCACAACACATACACAATACTGACAATGGTAATCTTTTTTTTTTCAAATCTGTTTTGCTAAGTGCATTTTTTAAATTGTCTACTATTATATGTGTATGTTAATTACTTTTTTTTTTTTTTTGTGTGTTTAGATTGGCATTGGATAGCAGAAGCAAATGATGTAATCCTTATGCTGGGATATGAAATCTTTCTAAAGTACCGGAGAGTTTTGGGAAATGCCTTTATGGTCTCATAACTCGGTGAAGGGAAAATCCCAACTGCAGTTCTGCGCGGTAGAGGATGGGCAAACACAGCTCTGGGGACCGAGTATCCACCGGAATAAGTGGACAACTCTGCACTTAAGCAGAGCAGGGCACTCACTTGTCCTGACAGTCAAAAATTGCTGTCAAAGGTAGAGGTAAAAGAACCCCCATGTGGACGTGGAAGGCACTTTGACAGTATGCTTTATAAATAAAAATAATCAAATGTTGAAATAAAACCACACAAATTGTTTGTTCATTTGTGATGACTGGATTATTCAGAGTGAGTCAAGGGGGAAAATGTCAGTGTACTTCAGATTTGTAAAGATGGTTTCGCTTACTTAGTGACAATGGTTATTTTTAGTTAATAATTAGTGGCCAAAATAACATAAAATAAGGGGGAGGGGAGAAGCACATGATACATCACCAGGACTAAGGGAAAAAAAAATTCATCTGTTCCGAAATTTGATGGTGATTGTGAAAAAAAAAAAAAAAAAAAAAATTTTTAAATTAATTAATTAATATAAATATTCAATAAGCGACCTAGTTCTAATTTGAGCTTGACATGTGCTTATGTCTTTAGCACATTTAAAGCTTTTTTTCTTTTTCCAATAAACGTACCAAGGAAAAAAAAATGTAAAGACCGTTATAAAGTTTATAAGAACATATTGAGTAATGATTATGATAAATGGCGGCCATTTTGAATAATTATTAGTCAATTATTAGTTGATATTACGTAACTACTAAAAATTTCATCTTTATTCAGTTAGAGATTGTTGTCCCGAATCCAAAAATATATGGTTTCTAGGGTCTTTTTTAAATACTTTTTAAGTAAAAGCACTTTTTAAACACTCCTCTAAGACTTACGATTTTAAGGCGACAAGTTTTATCTCACTTTTATTTTTTCTTCTTTGTTCATTTTTTCCACAAAAACTTCAATAACTTGGCTTAGAATTGACATACAGGCATGAAAGAGGTACCGTTGGAAAGAGCTTTTCAATATGTATGCAGCTGTACTGGTTTTATAAGGAAAAAATGATTTTGAAAATTTGACTAAAGTGGCTACAAAAGTAACACTGTGCCCACCAATTATATGACATAACCATCTTCTTCTTCTGCCTTTTTATCCCCCAGACATAACCATGACTAGTATTAAAATAATACAGTATCATCAGTAAGTATGTTCTGTGTGTGTAGGATAGTTAATTTAACAAAAGCCATAAACTCATAAACCAGGAGTCAGTGTGTCGGCTTGGTACTTGGTTTTTTTTTAAATCTCATGGGACTAGGAGTCCAAATGTGGACCACATGGAACATACCCAACACACACAAAAAAACATTTAAAAAACACACCAGGCTTCTAGTGCATCTGCCTAGAAACTATTTCCAATATAATATAACCATGGTTTTATCACTTGAGCGTGGGTTTCTCGATCTCCCTGACGTAGACACTAGATAAAGGATAAAGCGGCCTTTCACAACTGAGAGCAGTTAGCGATTCCCAAACAAATAAGAAATCACGGACTCAAAATACCCGCTTCTATCAAGAAACAGGTTTTTGCCAGGACTCCATATAAAAGTAATTCAGCAACCAAAACCAGCTCTCAGACTCTGTAGCCCGTTGAGTTGAGAGTCGGTTTCTCTTCATCACATGGAAGTCAAAATGTCGAAAGCTATCCGGGCTAACCCGGTCTCCTCCAACGAACACAAAACCACAATGATGAAGTGTACACACAAATACCTACACCAGCTTCTAGGACCTCTGCCAAGAACTGTCCCTTTGCTGGAATCATATAAAAAAGTAAAACAACCATCAATACGGGCCTTGAGCGTGGGTTTCTCCATCTTTTCTCCTAAAGAAGTGACTTCTACAATCCAGGAGCAAACGACCTACAAGGAGAGTGCAACCTTGTCAAGTGCCCGGATCCAGTCCCCGCCAGGGGGACAAAACCTGGGCAGCTAGGTGACGTCATTCACCACGTGATGATCACGTGTTCGCCAGGCTACCCTCTCTCACAGCCCAGGTAGCTAGTGCCGTGTCGGATTGCGCAAGGACACAAATGTTGGTGGGGTAATTCCAGCGGTCGATAATGTCTGATAATCGACATGTGGCTATTTAGGTAAGCAGGCTAGATGCTTTGTTAATTACAGAGGTGGGAGAACTGTGTCAAATGAGAGATGACGCTGGGTGTGACAAGCATTGAGAAGACTTTTTAATTGTATAAATGGAATGAGTTTTCTCTAAAACTCAGGGACTTGAAAAAATTGTAGGGTGTTTAAAAAAAAAAAGAGAATCAGAGACATAGATAAATATTATAGAGGGGAAATGTGGGAGGGGGCTCAGGTTGATTGCAAAGAACAAGGGACTGCTTGTTTGCAGTGGTGCCCCAACCTGGGGACCGGTTCACCGAATAGTGTCCCCAGAGCTGACTGCAGCCGCTGAAGATCTCGTATAGGTAAACCGCAGATTGACTGTGAGTGACATTATCGCGCATCTTGACATCACTCAAGGTTAAAAAAACAACATCATCCACGATGTGCCACAGTACAATGAAGTGCCACGGCAGCCTGCTCAAGAATTGAAACAACGACGTGGTGAAGCTTGTCGAGAAGTGTTGAGGTTCTTTGAAGCTTGTCGAGAAGTGTTGAGGTTCTTTGAAGCTTGTCAAGAAGTGTTGAGGTTCTTTGAAGATTGTCAAGAAGTGTTGAGGTTCTTTGAAGATTGTCAAGAAGTGTTGAGGTTCTTTGAAGCTTGTCAAGAAGTGTTGAGGTTCTCTGAAGCTTGTCCAGAATTGTTGAGGTTCTTTGAAGATTGTCAAGAAGTGTTGAGGTTCTTTGAAGCTTGTCCAGAATTGTTGAGGTTCTTTGAAGCTTGTCAAGAAATGTTGAGGTTCTTTGAAGCTTGTCAAGAAGTGTTGATGTTCTTTGAAGCTTGTCAAGAAGTGTTGGGGTTCTTTGAAGCTTGTCAAGAAGTGTTGAGGTTCTTTGAAGCTTTTCAAGAAGTGTTGAGGTTCTTTGAAGTTTGTCAAGAAGTGTTGAGGTTCTTTGAAGCTTGTCAAGAAGTGTTGAGGTTCTTTGAAGCTTGTCAAGAAGTGGTGAGGTTCTTTGAAGCTTGTCAAGAAGTGTTGAGGTTCTTTGATGCTTGTCAAGAAGTGTTGAGGTTCTTTGAAGCTTGTCAAGAAGTGTTGAGGTTCTTTGAAGCTTGTCAAGAAGTGTTGAGGTTCTTTGAAGCTTGTCAAGAAGTGTTGAGGTTCTTTGAAGCTTGTCAAGAAGTGTTGAGGTTCTTTGATGCTTGTCAAGAAGTGTTGAGGTTCTTTGAAGCTTGTCAAGAAGTGTTGAGGTTCTTTGAAGCTTGTCAAGAAGTGTTGAGGTTCTTTGATGCTTGTCAAGAGGTGTTGAGGTTCTTTGATACTTGTCAAGAAGTGTTGAGGTTCTTTGAAGCTTGTCAAGAATTGTTGAGGTTCTTTGATTCTTGTCAAGAAGTGTTGAGGTTCTTTGAAGCTTGTCAAGAAGTGTTGAGGTTCTTTGAAGCTTGTCAAGAAGTGTTGAGGTTCTTTGATGCTTGTCAGGAAGTGTTGAGGTTCTTTGAAGCTTGTCAAGAAGTGTTGAGGTTCTTTGAAGCTTGTCAAGAAGTGTTGAGGTTCTTTGATGCTTGTCAAGAAGTGTTGAGGTTCTTTGATGCTTGTCAAAAAGTGTTGAGGTTCTTTGAAGCTTGCCAAGAAGTGTTGAGGTTCTTTGAAGCTTGTCAAGAAGTGTTGAGGTTCTTTGAAGCTTGTCAAGAAGTGTTGAGGTTCTTTGAAGCTTGTCAAGAAGTGTTGAGGTTCTTTAAAGCTTGTCAAGAAGTGTCGAGGTTCTTTGAAGCTTGTCAAGAAGTGTTGAGGTTCTTTGAAGCTTGTCAAGAAGTGTTGAGGTTCTTTGATGCTTGTCAAGAAGTGTTGAGGTTCTTTGAAGCTTGTCAAGAAGTGTTGAGGTTCTTTGAAGCTTGTCAAGAAGTGTTGAGGTTCTTTGAAGCTTGTCAAGTAGTGTTGAGGTTCTTTGAAGCTTGTCAAGAAGTGTTGAGGTTCTTTGAAGCTTGTCAAGAAGTGTTGAGGTTCTTTGATGCTTGTCAAGAAGTGTTGAGGTTCTTTGAAGCTTGTCAAGAAGTGTTGTGGTTCTTTGAAGCTTGTCAAGAAGTGTTGAGGTTCTTTGATGCTTGTCAAGAAGTGTTGAGGTTCTTTGAAGCTTGTCAAGAAGTGTTGAGGTTCTTTGAAGCTTGTCAAGAAGTGTTGAGGTTCTTTGAAGCTTGTCAAGAAGTGGTGAGGTTCTTTGAAGCTTGTCAAGAAGTGTTGAGGTTCTTAAAAGCTTGTCAAGAAGTGTTGAGGTTCTTTGATGCTTGTCAAGAAGTGTTGAGGTTCTTTGAAAACCTAGGTTCACTACGAAGAGAGTGAGCAATGAATGAACCCACCCTCGTCACTGAAATCAACGAAGTTTTACAAGCACCCATCTACGTGAAAGGTTATGGCGACTCTCTTCTGGTATAAACGGGACGTTATTTTAGAGGACTACATGCCAAGAAGGAAAACTGTCACCAGTGATACGCATAAATATCTTCTCAAGAATCATCTTCGACCCGCAGTCAAATCTCGCGAGGTTGATTTTTGAAAAATTGTGTCCTTTTGCAACTTGACAATACACAACCCCATACTGAGCATACCGACTGATTGACTGACTTTCTACCCCACCAGGTCATTACACAAGCGATAAACACCCAATAACACAATGTTCCACCGTGTGGATGCGGATCACCGTGGAAAAGTCCCAGAAACCGCGTTCAGCCATTAGGCTATATTTATGGCCTGGCTATATTGCGGCCCCCGGCAAGAGCCAGGGTGGGGTTTCAAATAACGAAAAATTTTATTCTAAAAAGGACGGTGCTTTACCAAGGATTCAAAACCGGGTCTCCTGTATGAGAGAGCAGCGTTGCAACCATTCGGCCAGCCGCTCCTCTTATACTGAGCATACAACGGTTTAAATGATGGAAAAGCTCCGTTTTCAGTGTGTACCACATCCCTCGTACTCACCAGACCTAGCTCCAGGGGATTTCCACCTGTTGGCACAACTCAAGGAGTCATTGGGAGGAAAGACTTTCGGTCCGATGAAGAAATACAGCAGGTGGGGAATAAATGGTTGCGACCAAGATCATTTGGTCTCTACAGGGATTCAAGCTCCTCACCGGCGCTAGAAAACTCGCATTGAGCAGTGTTTTATCCCCACTTCTGTCTTTACAGACGATAGTGTTATATTACAATATGAGGAGGCATGAGACTCACAGCCCATGGCGATGGCGAGTGTGACTAGCAAGACACGCCCACGTTAAGGAAAGTCTCCCAAAATTAGAGCATATGATTTCAGAACCATAGTTGTGAACATTTGTGCTTGATCTGTTTCTTCTCAGACGCTCAACTCTTATCCATTTTGCAGTCATTTCTTCCTTTATTCTCATTTACTTCCTGGTGTGCCCCCTCCAGACAACACGGTCTATGATTATTTGTTCCCACGAACCCACCTCAATACCTGCATTATTCATGTCCCACTTGCGCACGTCTTTATATTGTAGCAGAGGTCGGCTTCGACACCTTTTACCCGTTTTTAACTCATCATAGAGGATGTCCTTAGTGTAATAGGGTGGAAACGACGAAGACTACATTCAGCAGCTTGAAGATCTTGACTTGATCTGGTTTAACAATGAACAGGAACAGCTTTTATGTATAGACGGAAACGCGGTGAAAATCTGGCCACCGGGGTATAAAAAGGAACTGACTCAGTATTTGGCCTCTAAGCATACATATCTCGTCCTTTTTAGGATGACATTTTTCGTTATTTGAAGCCCTACTCTGGTTTTTGTCATGGGCCGCAATATAGTCTGGCCATAAATATGACCTAAAGGCTGAGACCTCTCCACGGTGATCCTCACCCGCAAGGTGGCACACTGTGTCATCGGGTGTTTGTCGCTTGTGTTATGTCCTGGTGGAGTAGAAAGTCAGTCAGTCAGTCGTATTTGGCCTCATATAAAGCAGGCCTTCAGGAGGCTGAAAGAGGACCAAATTAAAATTTTTTTTTCTTTTTTTCAAGTTCCAAGTATTTGGCCTCATTCTATCTGGCGGTCGCTCCGGCTTGCTACGGTCAATGGCCCTATTTGTCGTTGTTGACTGTACTCGGTCTCAACGCACAGGTGTGCTCAGATCGGACCGGCTGAGCGACGCTAGATTGGCTCATGTTCGCGATAATGGTACGTTTAGATGATTTAAGAATTTTTTTCCATTGTGTATTCTCGCTAGGAGATAGTTTGATGGCAGGTCGCTATACCTGATTTGTTGGCACATTGAAGCTTACCGCACATGTTAAATATGTTTCGGGTTTTGCCATGGTTGAGGTAATCTCGCTGAGCGTATGTTGTCATAATATTTCATTGTTAGCTGGAGATGATGATCGCTTTATACTCTGGTCGAACACGTTTATTGTTGTTAATGTCGTTATTTGTTGACCACGCTGATGTTATGACAAGTAAAATAAACAAGTGTTCAATGTAGTAATCATAGTTCCAGTTGTTTTCCGTTCAGCTTAAGACTTGTAGTTAGTGTGCCTAGTTTAGTTTATTTGTTGCTTGGCTGACCTAGACTTTACACAGAAGATTTCTTGTCAGGGTGAGATATTTTTGATCTTTCCCCCGCCTAAACGAACTTTGTCTCTTTTGTTTCCTTGTTACTGAGGCAGCATATGGTTGGGTTTGGCTCCCACTCGCCACGTGACAATGTTTCGAGCTCTTGTTGGTTCGGAGTCGAGGAGATTTCAAGGAGTAGATTTCC